AGATATATGAACCTTAAATATGAATGGATTTTGAGCTCACACTTAATCATAGTCCTAGTCTCAGAACAATTAGTTCTTATGCTAATTGTTCAATTGCTAATGAAATGATCACTGAAGATATGGGTACAGAGAAAAGTATAGTGAATAAATAATATGGTGCTCAGGTATTAAAAAGAAAAGTATCTTGGGTCTTTCCTTAAAAGGCTTTCCTTAAAGCAAGCAGCCGTCTAAGTGAGATGTCAGCTGTAAGTCCACACAGAGCAAGCAGACCAACTTGTATGATCAAAGATCACACAATTATTATTATTTAATAATAATTCAAGATCAGAGGAGGGATTGTATCAGAGCTTAAATTCTGAGCACCTGGGTGTGCAAAAGGCTATAGATGGTAGTAACAGCCCCACATCCATTTACCAACTCCCAACATAGATTACGCTTCCATTGAATTCTTTCTGATCATTAACCAAGGATGTAAATGATCTTGCCCTCATACAGAGTGCCTTGGGAAGTGGATTACCTTCATCCTCTGGTCAGCCCAGGGAGCTTTCTTGGGTGCGCCCTTGATGGAGGTCACTGTACTGGGGATAGTACTGGGGGTTACATAGTCATGGGTCATGCCCTATCGGGCTCATCCTAACTGCCTTTGTCCGGAGGCCCTTGGCCAATGATGTAAACCCTTCTATTTAACATACCGTAGGTGTCCCAGCCCTGCTCCTGTAGTCCCATCTATAACTGATGGATTGATCTGCCACCAAGGATGAATGTGACAGTCGCCTTTGTTCCATGCCTTACTTAACTAGCATCCTCACTGTGAACCCTTCGATGCCATTTTGACTTCCTGCCTCCCTCATCTGCATGTGTCTGCGTCTCTTTGAAGACAATAAATGTTCTCCTTAAATGACATTTGAGATGGGCATCTCTTTTATGCCCTAAAACAGTCTCTTCAGGTACTGGATTCTGCAGGTGGTCTTCTTGATCCCGCTGATTTCTCTGCTTCCTCTGAGACATCCCTTCAGCCCCTCTCTGTTCCCTGGCTTTCTTCGCATCACCTGGGTCTTCTGACATCCGTGCTAGAGCAGGATAGGGGCAGGTATACCATAGTGAATGATCTCTGCAGAAGCAGGCAATTGTGAGCCCAGGATTTGTCTGTCCCTGTGCTCCATTCCTCGGGCCCACCCAGGAAGCAGGTTGTCATGGATAGCCCTTTAGTCCGAGGACTTCGAATGGGGTGTCTGTTACATGACTCACTATAGTGTTCACTTCCCTCCAACCTGGGAGGAAGAATGCGGTATGTGGACTAAGTGCCGATAAAATTGTTAAAAAAGAAAAGACAAGAAAAAGAGACTGTAGCATTAGTTTCCTTTGCTCAGACTATCAGATCCTGAACTCTTGTCAAGCCACTCTGACCCTCCTCCTTGTCAGTTATTTTGTCTGGATACAGGGCTTTTGGGATAGAACAACCCCACCCTTACCTCCTACCGCTGCATGCTGGTCTCATGTGGGAATTCCAGGCTCTAAGCTGACCATATATTAGCTTTGGATATTTAGAGACTATTTAAAATCTCTAAACTGAAAGCAAATTAAAAAAAAATTGGTGGGGAGGGGGTGCCTCTTAGTATGCTAGCAAAAACCAGAATATTTGGCTTTTTAAAATCAGAATTTTAGTCCATTGTATTTATTCTGGCTGGTTTCTGCCACCTGCTATGTAAAGGAGTGCTTTCAGCCCTAATACTAGCCCGCCACGTGGTAGAGGTCCGAGGAAGCCACTGCAGAGAGGGCTGCTCTCCCCACTCCCGTCCACTTACACACATCTCACCCTTCAGAATCGTATCTATGTACCCCAGTGTGTTTAGTGTGCTGACTGCATCCTGGTCCAAAAAACTGCTCAGAATCCACACTGAGCCCATTGGAATATTACTCCTGAGTAGCTGCGTGCAAAGGGAACAACCCTCACCAGGTCACCTTGACCTTCACCCTTGGTCAGAGGTCTCTTTCCCACACCAGCTCTGGCCCGACTACCTGGAACCTTCTTACTGAGGTTCTTCAAGGTGTGTACCCTCTTCTCTCATGTAAAGCTTGGGAGCACAGAGCCTCCTCTGTGTAGCGAAGTTTCTTCTTTTGTGACATTCCTGTGAGGATTACCATCAGATTCTGCTAAAAAACAAAGCCAAAGAGCACGTTGTTATCAGAAATCCTGCGGTTTTTCATCCACTAGAGTCACAGTGAGGCTGTTCTAATCACTTACATACATGGGTTCCGAGTTTGAATTGTCAACCATCAAGTGTTCCTGCTCTACAAGTTGCCCTGTCCCCGAGTGACCTGTGCATTGAGTCTCACACTTGCCCACTCAGCAGACACTTGGGCCTCAGCGTTGCAGGATAGCCAGACAGCTCATCTATAGTGAAGATGCAGTGCTTACGGCTTGTTGGACAAGGTTGTCACATGGCAGGTACCTAGCACCAATGAGGCCAGCCAACCAACCGTGGTCAGATCCATGTGAGCCTGCGCTGGCCTCTCAGATGTGCCTTTTCCCACCCCGTGCTGGCCAGCCTTCTTTGGAAGACTACCTTTTCCCCTCAGTATTGACCATGGCCCCATTCACTGGTTGCCTGCTCTGACAGCCTCACTCAGGTCATCCTGCAGACTCTCCACCTTCCTTATGTTATGGGTGTCTCTGAGCCCCACCTACCAGATGGCAGAAGGTCATCTCTGAGGGTTCGTGCCCTACCTAGGGCAGAGGGAGTATTAGAATGAGGCTGGCTGTCCTTGGAGTGTGTGCTCTTATCACCTGTTGGGTACACTGATTCTGAGCTGGGCCTTCATGCACTTAAGAATCCTAGCCAGACAAACCTGGAAGGAGCATAAGTGGGGTTACCTCTATTCTGCAGGTAAAGAGACTCCCTAAAGGAGCCACCATCACACTGAGTCAGGCTGAGACTGGGCCACGGATGGTCAGACTCTGAACTATGTTTCTGAGCTTTCTCCCAAATGCTCTGGATGACTCCCTGCCATTGTGACAGCCAGGTCATCCTGGCAGAGCACACACCTGCCCTGGATTTTCTGAAGCTGCTTTAGCATCTCCCCGTTGTCTATGTCCATGGACAGGGGGTGCAAGGAGGAGCACAGAGACTCCTCTGTGTAGCTGATAATCACTCTCCTCTCATGTGGGGGATGATACCATCACTGAAGACACTTGCAACCCTGATAGCCACTTTGGAGAAGAGTAATCTCTGTGGGATCTGGCTGAATAGGCTTGGGAAGGACCATTTACCACTACAACATCCCTGGTACAGCCAACAGTGTGGTTCTGCAAGATCAACCTGGTCTCCTTACTGCCTAACTCACTGCATGCTGCCTCTGGGTTCTCTCGGCTTCCAGCCCCTAACCAGAACCCGAGCAGAAGTGCATGATATTTGAGCACCTGGATAATGAGAGCTGTGCATTCCTGAATGTGCTTCCCATTTGTAATAAGTCAAAGAACAAATTAAATATGAGCTATGAGGTATGTCGTTTGTGTTATGCCAGGGTTCTCGGTGTGGCCCAAGTTCTTTCGGGATCATACAGGACCATCTCACAGACTTTGAAGCTCTTTTATGCTCAACGACATGTTTGTGTGAGGCCAACACCCCTCCTTTGCCCCAACACAGAAAATGCATCACAGAAGATGGGTGCAATAGCAAATAATGTAGTCCAGACAGAGAGTAAAGAACGTTATATAAATTTAAAATACTACCACAGTTTTTTGTCTTGCCAATCAGCATTATTTTCATTAAAATGTATTAAGACATAATAGATGTACTATTGTCAATTTAAAATCAATGAATAAATATGCTAAAATTTCTCAGTTACAGTTTTTAATGTGGTAATTCTCAATAGATGTGACCCACTTGTGCCAGGGTTTTTTGTGAGGTTCTCAGCCATGGTATAGCCAGAATGCTCCTTAGAAGCAAGGGTGGTGAGACTTTGCCTTGCTTACTTTGACCATCATGGTTCCGGAGGGACCAATCTCTGGAGAAGGACATCACGCTTGGTCAAGGAGAGGGTCGGCACAAATGAAGAATTTCCTCAGCATGACAGATGGCCAGAGTGGCTGCATCAGGAAGCTCTAGCATAGTAATGATTGAGAGGTTGGGGCGAGATTAGATAACCTTCCTTCTGTTCTGCATGAGCTCACTAGGAGTTGGAGTTGAGTTGACATCAATTCACCAGAATCTTGTAGGAATGTAAACGGTGCCCTGAGAGCAAATGTAGAGAGCTTCTGTTTTCAGGTTTCCCTTGAACTAAAAATAGTCGCAATAACAATCTCGGCTGGAATTTATTTATTAGTTTAAGCCAGGTGGTATAATGAGTGCTTTTAATGTATTATCTCTGTCGTCAAAGTTGCCCAGGAGGTGGGTGCTGTTATTCTTCCTATTTTATCACGGAGCAAGTACACTTTCAGAGATGTTGCACATCTTGTGAGTGGTGGGCCGAGGCCTATTTCTGGGGGGAGGGGGATAGAGCCATTTCAGAAAGGCCAGCATTCCATGATTGGCATAGTGCACCGAGACAAGGGTGCTATGTGAATTCAGAGAAAGGAGACGCCCTCTGGACCTTGGTATAGATGCCTGGCATTTCAGCTAGAGTTGACATTTCAGCTGGACCGGAAGGGACTATAGTATATAGCCAACTGAAATATAGACTGAGGCCAGGGATGACCGTAGGTGGAGATGAGAGGAGTGGCACACACAAACTAGATGGCAAGAAACCTGTCGGGCAGGGAGTGTGGGATGTGTTGGGGTTGGGGTTTGGCCCTGTTCTCCCATGCCAGATAGAGGGCAGCCCATGCACTATGGGCCGGGGCCTGAACTGGAACATGGTGCCTGTATAATGATTGCTTCACATTTTAGATGACCCCGGCCTATGCAATGTTGGGGAAAGAGGAGGGCTAGAAGGACAGCTTGGGGACAGTCCCATGAAGCTTCTGCTGCCTTAACATGTAGGTGTTCCGTTCCCTGCAGGAGAACCACTGTCGGAGGATCAAGATCCTGGGAGACTGCTACTACTGTGTGTCAGGCCTCACACAGCCCAAGGCTGACCATGCCCACTGCTGTGTGGAGATGGGACTTGACATGATTGACACTATCACGTAAGTGCCCCCCGGGGTCTGGGCCTTGCCAGTGGTTGTAGCTGCTGAATCCTTTCCTGCCCCATGTAGCCTCCATTGTAAGGCCTTGCTTGGGCATGGTCGGCCTGAGCCGACATGTGGTCACCTTTCCCAAAGCTGTGAGGACCAGCATTTTCTCAAGAGGGATTTGGCATTGACCTGCGGCTAGTTTCTCCTTGACGTTTTATCTGTGGCTGTTCTCATTAGGTGTGCTCTACCAAAAAGCCGGCTGGATTATGACTTGATGTAAAGAAACCAAAATCCTAACAACTGGACCAATAGGGAAGATCATGATACATGGAGAAAAGGTTGCAGTTGCCCCGGATTTTGTCTTGCTTGGATCCACAGTCAATGGTCATGGAAGCAGCAGGCAAGATATCAAAAGATATGTTGCATTAGGGAACCTGCTGCACAAGACCTCTATATAGTGGTGAAAAGCAACGGTGTTAGTTTGAAGGCTAAGATGTGCCTGACCTATGCTATAGTATTTTCAATGGCCTCATATGCCTGTGAAAGTTGGACATTGAACAAGGAAGACGAATGAAGAATCAATGAGTTCAGATTGTGGTGGTGGAAAAAAAAAATACTGCAAGTACCAGGGACTGCCAAAAGAACAAACCAGTCTGCTTTGGAAAAAATACAGCCAGAATGCTTCTTAGAGGCAAGAATGGCAAGACTTACTTACTTTGGACATGTCAGGAGAGACCAGTCCCTGGAGAAGGACATCATGCTTGGTAAAACAGAGGGACCGGGAAAAGAGGAAGGCCCGCAACAAGATGGATTGACACAGTAGCTGCAGCAATGAGCGCAAGCATAGGAACAACTTTGAGGATGGTCCAGAACCAGGCAGTGTTTCGTTCTGTTGTTCGTGGGGCCACCACGAGTTGGAATCAACTCGATGCCACTTAGCAACAACAAAACAAAGGAAAACAGTAAACCCCGGTTGTCATGTTTTCCTGTAAGGATGAACATTCTGCTACATGATGAGCAAGGACCATCCCTCATTTGTTAGACACAGACAGGATTCCCGACTCACACTGCTCACTTGCATGCATATTCCTGCTTTGCTGCAACTTTCTCAATTTCAAATTACTCGGTCAGTTCCTCTCAGTCCAGCAGCTGGTGCTGCCCTGTCCCTTAGGAAATCTATATGATGCTCAGCACTGCTGAAACAAACTGCCAGGTGTGCACAGGCTAACAGTCCTAGCTGTGCTGCCAGCAGAAAATTGGTCTGGAGAAAGAGCTGACTATATTGAACATAACACCAAAGAGAGAGAGCGAGAGCGAGACTGAGATAAGTCTGCCCGTCTGCACACAGCGTCCATGCATGTGGTATGCATAATAAGCAACCATGAATCTTACAGCCAAGGTACCTACTATCATCAAGAAAGAGGGCTCAGGCAACAAATGTACAATTGTGCTTGACACAATGGATGGATGGATGGATTGTGATAAGAGTTGTACGAGCCCCCAATAAAATGATTGAAAAACAAACAAACAAACAAATAAAAAATGCAAAAGAGGGCCCAGGAGAGGAGTACATCCTTTGGACCTCAGTTCTATATACTGGGATACTCCTAGGGGAAGATTAATACCAAGGCTCAATAATGCTACACCCACAGATGCTGTACGGAGACAAAGATCTTTTTCCTAAACTGCGAGCAAGACACAATTCTTAACAGCTTCAACCTCTTCTTCATTTATCATGATGTTCCCTATGGGTCCAGTTGTGAGGATTTTGGTCTTTTTTACATTGAGTCGTAATCCATGCTGACGCCTGCGGTCCTTGATCTTTGTCAGCAAGGGCTTCAAGTCCTCTTCACTTCCAGCAAGCAACTTGTGTCATCTGTATGTCACAGGTTGAGAATAAGCCTGCTAGGCTAAGAAAGGGCCAACTCTAGCTAAAGTCAGGGACCATGAGAGGGAGAAATGGCGATGTTTAGAAATAACACACCTAGCCCAGAGGGTGAGGCAGCACAAAGAGCTAGAGGAGAGACCGAGTTCTCACAGAGAATTCCCAGTCAGCTCAGTGAGGACCATAGACCTTCATGGTAGAAGACATCTGGTTCAGCCCCATTAGCAACTGGGACAGTTCGGTCAGGCCTGGTGTTCCTTATGGTCTCCTATGGGCATCCAGTGTGTGCCGGGCACATAGCTGGGCTTCTTAAACATCCACTGAGTGAAAGAGTGGCATTTATCTTTTCACAATACCGACCCTGAAAACCCCACTGTGGTAGTTTGATATCATGTCCTCTCCTGGCTAGGGATGGAGTTCAATCTGTCAATCCTTGGTGCCTTTTTGTAAAAGAGTGAGAGACACTGGGAACTACCCATGTGTAACCATGTGCCCTGCCACGTTCCCACCAACTTTGAATCCACTCATCCTGTGATTTTCCTGCTTCATGCTTCACCTCTTGGCATCCGCCTGCACATGCATGAGTCTGAAGAGGGCCATAGCTTGCAACGGACTTACGGACTTGAGTTGGCCTGGGCGTGGCCAAGTAGCTGTCTTCCAAATTCTCTGGCGTCGAATGCTTCATCGGCTTGTAGAGACATTTCAATTGATATTCCATCAATTCCTGGACCATTGTTTTTGGCTAATGCTTTCCGTGCAGCTTACACTCTTCCTTCAGTACCATTTGTGCTTGCTTATATGCTACCTCCTGATGGTGGAATGTCAACTAGCTCTCTTTGGTGCAGCGACCCTGTATCCTTTCTATCTTCTTTTGATGCTTCCTGAATAATTCAATATTCATATTTTGCCCATGTAATCTTTCAATATTGAGACTTGAATTTTTTCTTGAGTTCTTTCAGTTATAGGTATGCCGAGCGTCTTCTTTCTTTTGGTTTCTAACTCTCGGTCTTTGCATGTTTCATTATAATATTTTACTTTGTTTTCCCAAGCTGTCCTCTGACCTGTTCTGTTTAGCTCTTTGACTTTATAATTTCTTCTCTTTGCCTTAGCTACTCGACTATTAATAGCAAGTTTCAGCGTCTCTTCTGATAGCAGTGTTGATCGTTTGCTTCCTGTCTTTTTAATGATCTTTGGCTCTCTTCGTGAAAGATGCTGCTGATGCCCTCCTAAAGCTCATCAAGTCTTCTGTCATTAGTGTTCAAGCAGCAAATCTCTTCTTGGGATGTTCGGAAAATTCAGATGGGATAGACCCAGGGTCATATTTTGGCTTTTGTGGCCTAGTTTTCATTGTCTTCAGCTTTAACCTGAACTTATGGAGCCCTGGTGGTGTAGTGGTTTAGTGTTGGGCTGTGATCCACTTGGTTGGAAGTTCAAAACCACCAGCAGCTCCTTGGGAGAAAGACTGGTCTTTTTACTCCCATAAGCAGTTAGAGGCTCAGAAACAAACCTACAGGGTGTCACTCTGAGTCAGCATTGACTCAGTGGCAGTGAGAATTTGTTGAGTTAACGTCAACTTACATATGAGCCATTGATGTCTGTTCCATGAGCAGCTCCTGGTTTGGTTTGAGCAGCTGCCATTGAGCTTTTCCTTTGTCTCTTTCCACAGATACATTCAATTTGATTTCTGCATATTCCATCTGAAGACGTTCACATGGAAAATTGCTGTTCGTGTTGTTGCAAAAGTATTTCCTATGAACAAGTTGTTGGTCTTGCAAAATTCTGGCCTGTGATCTCCAGCTTCGTTTCTATCACCAAGACCATATTTCCTTCCTCTTTGTTTCCAACTTTTTCATTCCAATCACCAATAACTATCAATGCATCTTGATTGCGTGTTTGGTCAATTTCAGACTGAAGACATTGTTAGACTTCTTCAATTTATTTATCACTAGCTTTTGTGGTTAGTGCATAAATTGGAATAATATTTGTATTGATTGGATTTCCGTGAAGGCGGATAGATATAAACCTATTACAGATTTCATTGTACTTTAAAATAGCTTTTCTTAATCAGCTTCTTGGGGGTTCTTACAGCTTTTATGACATTCCATACATCAATTGTATCAAACATATTTGTACACGTTGCCATCATCATTTTCAAAAAATTTTCTTCTTGAGCCCTTTGTCTAAGCTGCTCTTTTCCCCCCTCCCTCTGACCCTCACGAATGCTTGCTCAGTTATATATTGTTATTATGCTATTATTTTATATCTTACACTGTTTTCTCCCTTCACCCACATTTCTGTTATTAGACCCCTTGGGGAGGGGCTATATATCCAACCTTGTGATGGGTTCCCTCTTTCTCCTCCTTCCCCCTCCCCACCATCCTCCTACCCTCATGATGTAGCTACTCCCACTACTGTTCTTCAGGTTTTATCTGTTAGTTGTTCCTGTCTTCAAGGGGCTCAGTGGGCTTGTCGTTTGGGAGGGTCCCCCCTGTGGTTTGGTGTTGGGTGCTCGCTCCTGGGAAGAGGGCAGGCATGAGAGAAGGGGTTGAGTCTGGCCTGCAGGACTAGGTGTGCTCCTCTGCTCCTCGCTCTGACACAGACTTCGCTTCTCATTCAGGCCATTTTGAGGTAGTGCTGCCTAACCTCCCTGTCCACCGGCACCTGCTCAGACTAGCACACTTGGGGTGCATTTATGTCTTCAGGTGCACTGGTTCCTGAAGTCCCTGGGGACTTGGCGATGGGGTGGGGGGGCCACTCTAGACTGATCAGAACAGAAAGATGTTCTGCATTTTTCCCCAAAGGGCAGAAAATAGTCCTTTCCCATAAGGACTCAAAATAGCTTTAGCCTTTTTTAAACCATCAAACGCTTAGGAAAGATGAAAGGACAAGAGTCAAGTGGGGGTAGATGAGAAGGAAAATTGAGTCCAAACGGCCAGGATCTGTCCCCTCTAGCTCTTTGATCTGATCAGGTGCCCTGGCGAGGTTAGCCTTGGGTCCTCCTGAGTGCTTTGGGAACAATCTAGGCCGTGGCTGAACAGGGGCATATGCCAAGGACTGTGAGCTGTGGAGCAGGAGCCAATACATGTCTGTAGTGGAGCACTCCGGAGGCACATAGGGAGGCACATAG